GATAAAAAACTTGGTGCACTGAGCTTATTACATAACTTTCACTTACTAACCTTAGAGTTGATAGATATTTTCAAGTAGGGAAGTCAAAATGAAAACGATGGTATCGCTTCATTTAAAACAATTAATTACCATACGTATACGTTTGCAAGACTTCCCATTTCCTTTTACGACTGTATGTATTGCCAAACAATACTAATGACTGTGGAGAAAATTTATCACAAAACTCGTCGAAAAAATAACTTAACGTTAGTAAATATTGTTATTATTAGGTTTATATTAGTAGATCGTCAACATTTCAAGTGAAAACATTTTTTAAAAATTATGGAGAAGTGTTATATAAAAGTTAAACTACCAATATTAAAGCCCAGTACAGAGGGGTATCGGATTTTTTAGACATTAATTGATATATGACAATAATATTGAACTTCTGAAGACTATAAGATTGTAACATTTAATCAATCGAACGGTGTATTTTTATTATTTATTATACATGGTAAATATTATTTCTTCTTTGGGCAATATTGATATATTTAAATTTTCTAAAGTTTTTTCCTGTAGCTAAATACTATAGCTTAATTTATAAACGCTAACATAAAGGGATAAATACCTTTGCAATATCCCTTTTTTGAATTTGATATAGAACCTTACTAAACATTTCATACAATGTTCATCAAATAATGTACCTAACTTCTAATAATAATGTATCATTAACGAAGATTTTTCTAAATACACTTATTCTTTCTCTATTCAACAAACTTTGACGAGTGTCTATTTTTTTTTTAACCATTGCTCATCAACATGCGTTTTTTATCATTTATTTTTTTGGTTTGTTTTCAATGGCTTCCCAGCTTGATTTATTTTTATTTTGTATGTTAATTGCAGAAGCATGAAGTCGTGAAATAATTTATTTGGAATATTATTGTTTCCTGTAGATCGGTTTAGAAATTTATTGTGACGTTTCAACATTTTCACGTATTTTATTCGGCCAAAACCGCTGTGTAACTAGTATTATAATTTTTGTTTTTCCTAACTGACTGGCTACAAAACATTGTCAAACGTTAATAAATAAAATAATTTGAAAAGGTAGCGAGATAATATACTCGGTGGTAATGATAACAATAAAGGTACTTGTTCAACGTATAAGAAACGGATGCGTAGTGGCTGACCTGTAAGTAAGAGAAATATTCAGCATTTCAGTCTCTTTGTTCAGCTATCATTCAAAATTGTATTTTAACGTAATGCCGAGTTAGGGAGTCGAAAAGGGAAAAAGATAGCTCCAACAAAATAAATAATTCACATGATTAAGTTTATCATTTTATAGTTTTATTGCTATTAAGTGAAAACAACAGTAACTTATATATATACAATAATACATCGATTTTAAAAATAACTCTTTTAAATTTCTGAAGTCAAACCTTCTTTAGGTGCACGTAGTACTTTATTTTGTAAGTATTGAATGTGACTGAGCCGTCACACTCGGGTATGTAACGCTGATTGCATATGAAATGTTCATATATATTCGTAAATAAATGAAAAATGTTTATATTTTATAATATTAATCCCGCCATGTTGATTTTCACTTCTATCTTATGGTGATAATCCCACTCCGTAGTGTTTTTTTTTTAATTGATGCGATAACATATACATATCGTTTTGGTAGTTTAGTCTATAAAAATATTCACAAGTACGAAAAATTTATTTTATTATATTCACTGAAGTAATGTTATATCATTTATAATAGTTTTACTTCCCTAAATGTTTTTTTTTTTTTTTTTACTTTCCTAAATAATCTATTAAAGGAAAGTATTGCGATCGAGTCAAACTTCCGATGTGCGGTTTTCGATGAATCTATATATTTTAGAGTCCGAAAAACACATTTTCAGCCATTGGCCTGTCTGTCTGTGGCAAGATTATCACGGGAATTAGTAGACCGATTTTTACAACTTTTTTTATTTTGAGTACTGATGCCTGTGATTTGTGTCATAGGCATCAATACTCAAATACACAAATCGGGTGTTCCCTGCGCAATAGCGGCTGCGCAATAAAAGAAAAACCTGTTTTTCCACAGACTGTAGCGCAAAAACGGCTGTAACGATTTTGAAGAAAACTTTCCTATATTTTTTTTAATTAATACCATTTCAATTTTCGTACCTGTACGAAATTCCCGAGAAAATTCAGAAAATAAGTTATAAAGAAATAAAAAATGTTTTCGGGTCTAACTCTCTCATTATATATTCTATGATAAAATTAATACAAAAACTTTTGAAAGTTATTAATTACCTAGAAAACTAATAAAAATCATCGGAACCGAAGCAGTTTGTTGTTTACAGGCGTAAAACCCTGAGGTTATCAACGCCTTTTAATCGAAGCAGTATGAGCGATGATACAGCGTATTCTATTTTCTACATATGTTTCAATTTATTACTTTCCACCCTATACCAGTTAAGAAAATAATCACGATCGTGTCATATTTCAGTTGTGCGGTTTTCAACGGATCTATTCGTTTCAGAGTCCTCTGAATCCGAAAAACACATTTTCAGCCACTGGTCTGTATGCCTAAAAGAGTGGAAGGAGGAGAACAAATAAAATTAAGTGAAGAAAATCTGTTGCCTGCATCACACAAGCTTCAATATTTCCTCTTTTTTGACAGAAATTGTTTTATGAACAAATGGGCTATGGAAAAAAGTTTTTGATTGGAAATATTAGAGTGTATTGATTTTTTTACGCTGATCTTCCATAAGTCGGTCTACATTACTTTACTTTATCTAAGAAATCGTATTTAAATCTTTTCTTTGATCAATTTTCTTCTTTTTTTTTTTTGTTTCTTAATGTACACATTTAAAAGCATAAAGACTTTGCTGAAATAGGTAGAAAAGTCGTGTGAGTGTACACACCAGATTTTGTTTACATAGTTGTTGATGGTTCTATGGCTATATTCTATTAAACAAAAACAAATAAAAATTATCAAATTCTTCACCTTTAACAAGTTTAAATTTTTTTTTACCCAATACACTTACAGATTAATGATACATTAGCACCACCTTGTAACATTAATATATCTGCCTAACCCACGAGGCCGAGATTCCAGTGTATCATTTCTCAAAAATGCAGACTCAGCGTTTTTTGCCTTCATTGAGACTAAAAAGAAACGAGTTGGGCCCTCATCATCTTACTGATTGTAGGCCTAGAAGCAAGATTACTTTTGATGAAAGGCACTCCCAATCCTACAAATATCAACTATAAAAATAAAAAAACTAACACCTAATATTAATTACGCATAATGATTTCAAGTGTTTTTAACATACATAAATATATTTTATAACGTAAAATAGTTATCAAAAGAATTTAAATATATGTGTAATTATGGTCACAAAAAACGGGAAGAAAATAATGTTTGGAATAAATATAATAATGGCCTGATTGCAAATTTTATGGTATTGTACAAACCTACTTTAAACATACTGTTCCAACAAAATACACGCTTCAAAGGCTTGTAAGATCAACTTTATTTCATTTTGACCAGTCAATCATGGCTAATTAAAAATAATTAGTTTATTTCGTCCTATGAATAATTTAATTATTTGTAATATGGTTTTCGATAAGTAGTTTAATCTCTATTCGTCGAAATGTAATGTATTCAAAATCTCTATATATTATTATTCCCCATTTCTATATTGATTTCTAATGCTTCTCCTAAATTTATCACTTATTGAATCTAATCATTCTAATTTATCAAACGGAAATAATATCAAAATATTGGATTCACAATTAGTTTTAAGTATTTTTTTGTTTAGTTGGTAGTAATTTTAACACTAAAAAATAATTGTCTGAACTTCATTTACGGCCTAAAAAATTAACATTATTGCAGTAAAATCATTATTTTTCAAAAAAGCGATATTTTTTTTTACCCCTTTTCTCACCGTAAGTGGATTAGTAGAGATGTGGGTCTGCCACGGAATAAATTACCGTCCCCCAGGATGGATTCGAACCAACGTCGCTAGATTCGAGAAGATAAAAGTTTGCGCTTTAACACCCTCTACATAAACATTTACTTTGAGAATCGTGAAGAAAAAATTCTAGTAAGATCTATTAATAGTTTAAGAAACAAATATACTTTTCATAATTGGTAATTGGTTGACTGTCGTGGATAATGAAGAGAAGAATAGTTGGGGTGGTCAGTCAAAAAGGAAGGCGAAAATAAATATTATCATTTATTTTTGCCTTCCTTTTTGACTGACCACCCCAACTATTCTTCTCTTCTTTAAATATACCTTTCATTTTTTTGGGGGGGGAGGGTCAGCCCCTTCCTTGCCTTTTAGGCTATACGGGGTTTTCCCGAGCCAGGGAGTGTGGGCGGGGATTACAAAGACTCCCCCGGCACCGGGACGTGAACTCGTGGCTATTTTAAATCTATTGTTTCATAGATCAGGTTGCCCGGCGACAGAGGTGCTGTGCACACACGTTAGCCCGTTCGGCCACCCCGCCCACTACTAAAAGAAATATACCGCCCAACACAGAGAAATTCGCCCTCTTCACGAACTTCTAAAAATATTCAATTTCCAGAAAGAGATCTTACACAACTCCTACGATCCCGTCTCAAAATAATGCTATAAATATATTTATTTTGCTAGTCAGAAAAAGGAAAAATTAAATGTGAAATATTTGTTCACATTTGTATGTGAACTTTATACATACAAATAAATATATATATATATATATATATATACTTTACAACTTCTATATATATATTTATATATATTTGTAATGGGTATAGCTATGGAATAAATGTTTTAGGGCGAATAGGAGAAATTAAAAAAATGTTAGAATATTTAAGAAAACAGATGTGTTATAGTAAGGTTTTAGACGAAACAAATAATTAAATAATAATTATGAAATAAAAACTTTGAAATCGGACATTTCATAATGTAATTCAAAATATATGTTTTCTGTTTAAAAGTAGTTAACGACCATTGTTTAAAAAATAAATTTATTTGCCACAGACCTAAACCTGTCGAAAGATATCGCAGGAGCGACATTCATGGCCTTTGCTACATCGGCTCCAGAACTTTTCGTCAACATCATCGGAACATTTTTGACACAGTCTGATCTTGGGATCGGTACAGTGGTTGGCTCGGCGGTCTTCAATACTCTCGGAGTTGCTGCTTGTGGAGGCCTGGCTGCAAGAGCGGTGAGTTTATTATATAAGTGCCTCTAGAAGATTAATTAGATACATTTAGTTTACTTATCCTACAATGTATATTTACCACTATCACTATCTATCACTCCCGTTGTTGTGTGTAATTAACAAACTTTTTATTTCAAAATTTTAAACTTTATTTTCTTAAACATATTTATTAAATCAACTTTTGTAAATCAGTTTGTTTGATTTTTTTATGAATAATAACCTTTGATAGTGAAACCGGAAGATAGTGGTAAGCTTAGTTATCAGATAATTGAAACTGGAAAACTGCCCTACATCATGGTCTCATGATCATTCTACGCATCATCCTAATCCTTTACCGATCCCTACTAAGAAGTTTTAAAAAATATCAAGATTGACGAAGGTGAGTCAAATGACCCTGAATGTCGTCTCCTAACACTAGAAGTGTCTGAAGCCTTCAAAGTTCAAACTGGCGACAGAGGGATGGACTATTGGGGATGCAGTCCAACTTAGTTTTGGAGATGGTGATAAAACATCACGTAAAAGTAGAGGAGTGCTCGTCGGAATGAATCATTAAATCCGTGGATATGCAAATGATACAACTGCACTCAGCAAATTATCAAGAGGACACTATTACATATGGATATGGCTAAGATATTGATAAGAAGAACTGAAAACAAAATAGGACCTGCGTAGAAGGGATATAGTGCCCGAGAGTTGACAAGTTCAAATATTTCAGCTCCACAATAACAACAATGAAAATCAATGGTCAGAAATAGACAAGCCCGTAACAAGCGCAAACATAGCTTTCAACTCTCTTTCGAATGTTTTGAAATCACAAAAATCTCAGGAAATCTCGAACTGAAGGTATACAATACCATCATAAAGCCAATTCTTATATAGAGCTGTGTGACCTGCATACTCATCAGAACTCTAGAAAGAAATATTGAATGATTAAGAAAAAGTCCTCTGCAACCGGAGCTATCTAAGATCAGAGAACTAATACATAAATAAAAAGGATAACTAAAGAGCTGCTTTCAGAAACTGGTGAATTTATATCTCTAGGAATGAAGCCAAGGCGAACGATGATGGGCGGAACATGTAGCTCGGAGCTGTAGGTAAGAAGCATGTGGAAGGCCAAAAACCAATAGATCAAATCAACAAAGATACTGCAGAGCTCTTTAAAAATAATTGGAAAGTAATTGCCCAAGATGAGCAGAGAGGAGATTGGTTAAGGCGGCAAAAATATAGAAGGTCTGTAAATCCAAAATAATATATATATATATATATATATATATATATATATATATATATATATATATATATATATATATATATATATATATATATATCTTTTTCGTTATTTTAATATAGATATTGAAATTTAAAAATCTCAAACCTATATTCTCCCTCTAATATCTGATATTCAATTTTTTTTCTATGATTAACACTAAGCTTAATTCGAAGTATATTTAAAGCTAAATACTATGAACGAAAATGAACTAACGGTGACTACGTACATGATCTGTATCGAGTAAAAATGGCAATATGTTACGGATTTTAAAATAGGAACTTAACTTATTGGAATGAATAAATAAAGAATCAAGAAAATGTTTGTCCTTTCTAAACAAATCCTTAGAGTATTTTTAAGTCGTTGTAAAGATAAATAGTCTTTCTGCAGTCCAATCATATAAATTTTGTGAAACATCTAAAAAAATACTGTTTTGTGTTAAAATCCGAACGCTAATAACATATTTTTCAAATTTATCATTATAAACCAGTAAAAGATTCTACAGGAGATAGAAATTAGATGTTTGGTTATAATTTGAAAAATCTAACCATACAGTCTTGTGTTTTTAAAATGCCTATCCTTGGACGATTCAGATTTATATATTAGTTATAAACCAATCATTTGAACCATGCCCTCCTATTAATTAAACCAATGATTTATTCTGGCATAATTGCTGGAGCACTAGAACAAAAACAATACGCAACCTGCGATTTTCTGGAAGTTGCCCAAGCATTTGACAAAGTTTGGCACCAGAGATTTTTCTTTAAACTCAAAATTGACCCACCCTATCTCACACATACTATCTCATTTTCCAGTCTTTCCTTTTCGACAGATTTTTTTCTGTCCGACAGGGGTTAGAAACCTCCTCAACTCGACCAGTGTTATCAGTACTTTGAGGAACCATACTGGCCCCGTTACTGTGCACTATTTATACGCATGACATGCCTAACAACTCCGAAACATTTACTGCAACATACGCTAACGATACAGCAATTTTAACAAAACACCATAACCCTAGACAAGGAGCTTCACTGAATTTACAAAATCATTTACTAATTTACAAAAGTGTTACTTACTTTGGAAGATAAGATTAAATCATGACAAATCACAACACATAATATTTACACTTCGACACATGCCCACCAGTTTATATCGACGACAACTGAATTCTCAGACGAACACAGTACTCTATCTCGGACTAATATTCGACAGAATAATCACCTGTAGCCCTCACGCCAAAATGAAACGAAAGACTTTAAAAAAGCGACTGAAAATGCTATACTCTCTTTTCTCCAAACCAAAAATGCAAATCACATAAAAACTAAATACATACGCAGGCCTACTTAAAGCCATTTGGACATACGCCTCACAGATAGAGTTCAGAAAAAAGACTCACTTTCAAAAACTACAATCTTTTCAGTCCAAAATTTTACGACTAATAACAGCAGCTTCCTGGTAGGCCAAAAACAAAACTTTACATAACGGCTTACGACAACCAACTATCGACCAACACATACATATCTTTATTCACGATGTCATGTTAAACTAAAAGGACACAACAGACTTGTAACCGACATGACCACCATTGACATGCTCATCAGAAGGAGACTGGAGAGAAGCTGGATGATAGATTTCCTTCCTTATTTTAAGTACCACCATAGACCAGGAAGAGGTGCCGCTGGATACTGTTCTTCTTCATGCCTGTAATGCCATTACTATCTATAATCCCCTCAAATCTGCTGATTGTCAATCTCATGACAGGTGCAGTTGATTTTTTTTTCTTATCCTCCACTTTATTTTTAAACTATTACAATATAAGAACATGCAGTATATACATATATATCTTGTTGATTTATCTTTACACTGCCCTATGGCCTGTGCAGATGAAGGCATGAAAAAAAAATCACATAGCATCGTTTTAAAAGTAATCCTAAAAAACGTCTGCCAAGTAAGGTCAGTATAGCTTCCTCACCGTTTCCGTGTATATTACAAGGTATACAATTTTTCGTATGAGAATAAAATCTCTGAGAGAAGCAGAATCGAAATAGCCGTTACAGTTACCCTTCAACATTCAACAACAGAGGGTCGTATTTGAATATTCCATACTTGATTATGCTTAATAAAAAATAAATAAATTAAAAAAAATGCATACTGAACATGAACTTCAATACTGTTAGTTCAAAAGGTCTTATGCATAAATTTATTTATTGTTTTACAAGAGTTCATAAAAACTCAATATTTCTATATGCTTTATTAGAATAATTTCATATTTTATTTTCATCTGCTATTTTCCATAGTAGACTCCAGACTACTTATATCAGTTGCAGACTACAAAATATCACCTTTAATACACATAGAATTAAAGTTGAAAATTATTACATACGAACTTATGCTCTAATAATAGTATATACATTACCGAATCAAGATTTAATTTTGGAGGAGGGGCTTCAGCACGAAAGATTTATATATATATATATATATATATATATAACGATAATTAATTTGAAAAAAAACACTGCAAATTATTTCTCTTTGGTATATTATTTCCAAACAATTATACATATAAAGTAACATTAAATTCGTAGTTATAAAGAAAAATAAATAAAAGGTGATTCTAATTATTGGACTAAATTTTTTTTAATCATTAGTAATATGCTAAAAAAAAAAATATCATTACTTCAGTAACACATTCAGAAATCAAAAAAAAGATAAACCTTTTGCAATAGCACATCTAAAAAAAACTAGAGACCATATCTTTGCTCCTAATTGTCCGATTTTGACGATTTTTTTTTTTTGTTTTTTAGGAAATTTCGTAAACTTCTAAAAAACGTCTTCGATTCGCTGAACTTTTTTTGAGCTTCTTTTCGTTGAAGTATGTAGTATAGATAAATTTAGAGGGCGTAGAGAAAATGACTTTAGCGAAGTTTCATCAAAATCGGTACATTCGTTTAGGCGCTACAGTCTATAGCAACGCAGGTTTTTCGGCCGCCATTTCGAAACTAGAAGGCGAATAGTAATGTCGTTGAAGGAGGATGATCCTCGGGTGACCTCTGATTTTATATCCAAATTCGAAAAAAATCGGTCTAGTAGTTTCAGAAAAAATGCGCGGATGGCGGACGGCGGACTAGTAGTGCACATATAAGAGAAAGTGTTGGACACAATTCAATGAAATTGACACTACATTATTTTTTCACCAAAGTCTACCTTTTATCTAACTTTGAGCCAAATCGAACGAGCCCTTTCTGAAATATTGGCATATCTAAAAATATACGTTTGCGCGTGCGTAAGCGGAAGTGCTGGATGGAATTTGATAAAATTGATATGGGACCATCTAGGCACCAATCAGCATAATCCCTGAAAATTTCATGAAGATTGGATGAACGGTACTAGGTGATATGCCCGTCACATCGATTTGACTACAGACAGACAGACAGACAGACAGACTGACAGACAGACAGACAGACAGACAGACAGACAGACACCGAACCAAATTTGATCCTTGATGTCTGAAACGTAAAACGCGAGTGAAAATTTTCGATTCTGAGCAAAAAAAATTTTTTAATCTCTCGCACGAACACAATGCTTCCCTACCTTCGGTAGTGAGGAAGCAAATATACTTACAAGAAGAAGAACCTTACTAAATTTTAAATAATTTTGTTTTTAAGCTGTAAATAATTTTGATAATTTTAAATTTCAGATTATACCATTGGAGGTCTGGCCATTAGCAAGAGATTGTGGGATTTATATGTTTGTAATTACTGTTCTCACTTTGATCTTATGGGATGAAAAAATTGAATGGTTTGAAGCACTAACGCTTCTGTTACTATACGTTGTCTATTGCTTTGCGTTATTTTGTCAACAAAGACTTCACAAAGCAGCAAAAAAAATACTCAGGACAAAAAACTCGTTCAACAGTCAAGGTATGTTCCAGTTTTAAAAAAATGTTATTATTATCAAACATGTTTATCAACTGCAACTTAGGTATCATTTAAATCGAGGGATATTTTCAAAATATTGGAACCATGCTTATGTATAGCGTTAATTAGATTTAAACTAACTAAGCATGATGCCCATTCATTAATTAGCTTTCGCTTATTTATTTATTTTTTTTTTTGTTAAGTAGAGAGATTTGTTTGTGCATTTTAATATTTAAGGATGAACAGTATAATCTATTTTCATACTTTTTTTAATAGTTTCGACAGTTGCTTTATCCTGCAACAATGATTTGCCTGGAACGTATACACCATTTCATCACCATGGCGAAGTGATCGGTTGGGAAAAGAGGCCATCAGTGATAGTGAAACCTGATGAGGTACGTTTTATTACCGTTTTCATCTATAAGTTTTCATTTTCTGTATTCAATAATAATAATAATAATAAGAGCTTATGATCGTCACTCGAGCTATCATCTGATAAGAGCGATAATTTTCCAAAAATCATCTTATTATTAGAAGCATTCTTTGCGTTTTACTCCTATTTCAGTAAATGTTTTAACACATTTGCACTTTGTGTATTATTTCAGTGACCATTATTTCAGTGAAACTAGAATAATTAAAAGTATTCTATAATCATGAAATTGCTATATTTTTGTGTATTATATTAAATTAGATCAACTACAAGTTATAACAAGTCATTGCTTACTGTTACAGATCAAATCAGTAGAAGTAACTGTAGAAGTACGTGCTTGCTCTCCACCTGCACATTTGTTATCCAAAATATGGTGGATGATCTCTTGGCCAGTTGCAGCAATGCTATACGTTACTCTGCCTGATTGTAGAATTTACAGAAAACTTTATCCAGGAACCTTCCTCATGTCTGTCGTATGGATCGGGGTGGCATCATATATAATTAGTTGGATGATGACTACTATAGGTAAATTTGATAATAAATTTATTTTATTTATTTATTAATTTATTTTATTTATTCGAAATAAATCACTACTTGTTTTATGTGTGCGCCAATCGCGGATCCAAGGTTTAATTTGGAGGGGACGGGTCAGAGGCGGCTTCAGCCCGAAAGACGTTATATATATATATATATATATATATATATATATATATATATATATATATATATATATATATATATATATATATATATATATAACGTCTTTGAAAGAAATTAACTACTTATATGAAATGGTGTTTAAGTGATTCTTGAAGTCCTATTTGAAATGTAATTACACAAACAATAATATTGTAAAGTTAAGTTTTAATATATTTTTTTTCATAAGACATGATTATATTTTACCATTGTGGAGAGAGCTTCATCTTGAAACTCTCTTCCCCTTCCTAGATCTGCCTGTGGAGAGCGCTGTAATCCAGGATATAAGTGAGAATACAGCATGCTATTTATACCAAAATCTTTAACACTCGTCAAAAATAAATATTGTAAGGATAGTCCTACAATCGTAATGTAATTTCAATGTATATGACTTCTCTGATCGTTAGGAGATGTTTTATAGGTGTATGGGCATTTATAAAATGAGTTAATTGTTTGGAAATCAAAATCAAAAATACTTCGAACCATTCCGAAGTTTTTTTTTAATACTACTTGTTTACACATTATGAGCTTCCAAAAATAAAGTCCTGTATTAGTTGTTTGGCCTGCAAAAAAAATAAACCCACACACACAGTTCTAAATTTGAATCATTGCAAAAAACATATATTTTCAAAATCAAGCAAATCGAAGGAGTTTGCTGTGTGAGTTAGGAGTTATTAGCGACTTTGGCCTTGAAAATAATGACTCCAATATTGACAATGGACTCAGTAATGAGACTTGAAAGAACAGGATCACTTCAATTCCTAATACATCCCACATGTTAAAGTAATTAATTAGTTTTTACTAAAAAGTATCGTCGGTTTATTGCAAAATTTCACTATTTTAATATGGAGCTAAACTTTTAAGATCATTTTTGTGGATTTTGACCTTATTTATAGATACAAAAACATAGTGAGTGATTCGAAATAGTTTCACTAATAACTGTAAAATAATTACACTGATAGTTGAGCGATTGTTTGATTTCCCAACTGAAAAAGTCATCTATATACTTAGTGATTTAGTTTTATGAAATGCTAGTTAATCACTTTTTCAATAAACCCGCGGTAAGTGTACATATTTTATGAACAAGCCAGATATTTTCAGTAGACGCTTATCATACTATAGTCATTAATCATCCCAATATTTATGTTTATGAATTTAGTAAGAAAATCATTCTTAAATCTAATACTACACAAACTAACTAACGGTTTAGAATAATTCAGATTATTGGAATTATTTTAAATGTTGTACATTCAGTCAAAAGAAGGTGAGTAGAGTAATTTCTAACTTGAAGAATGCCATATTGTTCCAGCTCTTGTTATCATATGGATCCACAAAACACAAATAATAGAAATAATTTCATGGAAGTGTGTTGATACAATATAGCAATTTACCCTAGTTTTACGTAGAACCTTTTAGTAAAATTAAATAAGAATTTTATTTATTAGATCGTCGTATACTTAAAAACGTTTTATAATAGTTAACAGCACAAAAAGGTTATGAGTTTTATTTAAGATACAAAAAAAGTTTTTTAAAATCATCTATAAAATACTTATGTTTTTAAAGCTATTGAATAACTTCAGCGTTCGATTGAATAACGTTTTCGATCGATGAAAAAAGCACCGGTAAAATTAGAAAGGAAAGGAAATTTTATTCTGGGTCATTTAGTCCCCTAAGAATAATTATAATGAACAGAAAAGTGACATATGTCTGGCTTTAGAAGACAATCAAGAAATAATATAAAGTAACATTATTATTTAACGCTAAAATTAAAAATAACAGACCACATGTAAACATTAAATTTTAGATAAATATACATGAGTGTGTTTAAATATTTCTTCAAATAGGTAATCTATGTAATATATAAGTATTGCTGGATAACAGTAGAATGTGGATGACAGCTCTTAAAAATGAAAACTCGGGCTGAAGCATCTCCTCCCACCCCAAATCGTAAAATATAGCTGTCTTAAAAAAAAAAAATTATCTCTAAAAGTATTATTATTCGTGTAATTATATTTAATAGGACTTAAAGAATCACTAATACACCATTTCATATAGTTTCTTTTTTTTCCAAGGTAATTAGTGTTTCACATAAATATAAAAAAAAATATCGGGCTTAAGCCCCCCGCAAAATTAAATCCTGGATTCGTTGATGGTACAAGGAAACAACCATCCGTTTTAACTTCGCCAGCGCTGTGGACTGTAGTGGAACTAACCCTTGACTTGATATCTGCGGTAGGTTCCGTGGTGGTTATGTATTGTTACTGTGTTTAGACGGTTCTGGTTCTTTCTTCGAAAATGCCTACAGTGATAATTCTTGACACTTCCCCGCCGTTAAACGCTTCTGTTGTTAAAAGTGCGGAATCTTATCCTTCTTTACAATATGCTCGCAGTGCTTTATACTCATTTTTCGATACTATTGCTTCTACCTCCAAGCTTGAATTCGTTGCTTTGGTTACATGTTCGACTCATTTTGAAGTAATCTCTTCGTTTACGCGGGACTTTGACCTTTTGAAGCTGAAACTTATGCAAATGAAATTAAGTGAAAACTTTGATTTAAAAATTGTCATGGATGGTGTTGAAACCTTGATTCTAGAAGAATGGGGAAGTGGGATTTCCTGTAACGTTATCATAGTAGCACAAGACAGATATGCTTTAGAAGCTTGTAGCATGCCAGTTTATTTATTTCCAGGAAACATAATTGTTTGCAGTTTAGGTCCTGATCCAATCACCAAAGATCACTACTCCAAACTTGAAAATTTTAACTATCGATGTGAATTATATCAGCCTGAACCCAGTATAAATCCTCCATCAGTACAACAAATGTTCCATAAAATTGCTGAGCGTTACTACTATACCTGGATTGGACAACTTACTTGTGGCAATTTCAATTCTAAAATAACTTTATCACCTAGCCCTGAACCATATTATGTAGCAACAGACTTTGATTCAGCAACCTATACTGTTGAAAGCATTTTGGAAATTTGTGGTTTTATTGAATTACAGCATTTGGGTAGTCCTGGAGCAGTTTCAAGACATTTAGTACTACCATACTCACCGCCAGGTGTTTTTCCAGCAATGAATCGAGCCTTAAATCATTCTAAGTCACTTACATCGTCCCCAGATGTTGACGATGATTCTCAAGAAGAAAGCCAGGTGCCATCTTTCTGTGTTTTATTGCATGGTGCCTTAAAAGTTGAAAATATGGCTGCTTTGTGTTATGTGGGAAATGATTGGTATGGAGTTCTATTTTCTTGGGCAGATTCCAAAAAGAAGTCAAATTTAATGCTAAGTTTATTAGAACCAGGTAGTTTAGATGCTGTTCCTTGGCTAGGTGATTTGAATAGACTCAATATATCTACTAATCCTCAGATGGAAGGCTTTCCTATTAAAGGACCCGAAAAGAAAAGTTATACTCAGAATTGTGTTGCTTGGATTAGACAGCAAGGATTGCAGTCAGACATTCAAAAAATACTGCGTCATTCAAGAAAATTACCAGAGAAAACTCAACAGTTTTATAAAGAACTAAACCGTGTACGGAGAGCAGCAATAGGCTTAGGTTTCATGTCTTTAATTGAAGGGTTAGCTGCTGTGCTAGAACGTGAATGCACATTATTACCAGGTTCTGCGCATCCCGCTTGTGCATTGCAGTTAACTCATGCTGCTGGTGTTCTGAGAGAACCACATAGTCGAGACCATAAATACAATATTCTCCCCATGAAAACATCCTTTCGCTCTGATGCTCAAGGATTTGATATGTTTTAAATGTTATAAATTCCTATGTTTACTGCCAATGAATAATATTTTTATTCTAATAAACATTTACTTTTATTTTTTATTGACTGAAAAAAATGTTCATTCAGACAAATATTTTTATATTATTAGAATCTTTTAGAAGTTAAGTCAATTCTGTGCTAATATTACTACAGTGTAAAAAATAAAAAAGTTCTATTATATATTAACAAGAAAGTTTTTATGAAACATTAGTTCAAGATGTAAATATCGAGTTTATATTATTTCTGGATCATCAATAAATTTTTTATGATAAAGATGCAAGCTGCTTGTACTTTACAACTTTATTCTGATGTTTGCTTTTTCCTCTACATTTTAAAATAATGAAGAATCCAACTTTAATAAGTGCTCTATGCTTAGGAAATATACTAGAGAAAATTCAATGGTAATTTTTTTTTGTAAATTCATAATTTCTAAAATCACATTATTACTGTTAGTATGATTTTGTTTTCATATTTATTTTACTGATTTTGTAATATTAGTACTATTCCTTCCCCAGTTTTATGTTTCCATGAGAGTTATCTTTCTTGCTTTTTCAATTTGTTTTGGATTCCTAAATTTTTTTAGTTGGACATGCTTTAATCTCACATCATAATATATATAAAGATGAAAACAAATTGTCAGGATTTGCATTCAAAAATTTCTTTAAAGAGTTAGCCGAAGTTTCCACCCCACTCTAAAGACATTTTTGACTGAAAATTCTGACAACTTTTTTGTCATCCTTATAATTTCAAGTCGACTATATACCCATCTCTGAACCATTATGTATTTAAATTTTATAAAATGTTTATAAATTTTACTTTTAATTTGATAGGTGACACATTAGGAGTGAGTGACGCTGTTATGGGACTAACCCTTGTTGCTATTGGTGGATCTATTCCAGAAGCTAGTACAAGTGTCATCAATGCAAGACTTGGCAAGTGTTTATTTAATAACTTGAATTGTTATTGGTTCATTACATACTGAAAGCTTGTTATATTGTTATGTCTATTCTGTTACTCACAAATTTACTATTAATTCATAATTGATAATCTCTTATAAATGAAAAACATTTACAGATACTAGTTGGATAAATATGAAACTGGAATTCATCCATAGATGACTCTAGTTGATAATGTAGGTACCATAAAACCTCATTATTGTCACCCTTTTGTTTCTTTTAAAGCTGGCAAAGATTTTCAACTCATAGCAGTACAGGTTTCATACAACCGATTCATTTTAAAAGTGTTGAACATGTCATGCTTTTTTCGTACAAACTATGATTTGCAAACTATAGAATCACATCAAATGCTCATCAAAAGTTACAGTAAATCATTGTGTTCTGAGTGATATAAAAGTGGCAATTTTGGCATTGGAAATGAAGACCATTGAAAAAGTCTAAGCATTGTTGAGTGAGGATGAAGTTCAAACTTAACAACTCATGAGTCAATAGAATGTAACACAAGGAACAGTGTCCATAAATTTGAAAGGCATATGAAAGATCCAGAAGATAGTAATGGACAATGTTTGTTTAACATTTTTGTTCAATAAGTGTGTATTTTTGTTACGAAAGTTCCAGTTTCATATTTACACACCTGGTAATTTTGTTTTTAGGTGCTGAGGCATTTTATTAATTCAGTATTTAAAAGCTGTAGCATATAAAGCCTTCATATTCATTTGTTTTTTATTTTGCTGTTTTTACATGATATTAAATTGGACAAGTAAATCATCAATGGGTTTTGAATTAAGTAATAAATTTTGGTTGGTGAATTAGGTACTTCTTGTCTAGGGGGCCGGACTAAAACCTCACTTATTATCTATCTTATCTAACGTCACATCACATAACCTCCCTCTTCTTATCCCGCCAAACCTTTGAGTTATTGCATTGTTTAGTTTTCAGTTATTCCCTTATTATGTTCTCTTATTAAATTCTTTACTTTTGGCCAGTTTGTGTTTATTTTTAATTTTTGGTCCGTTTAAGTTTATTTTACATTTTTTTTTAGTTTTTGGCCCCTTTGTGTTTATTTTTCATTTTTTTCTGTTTATTTTCGTCATATTATATCTTCTTAGAATATGGGATTTGCTGCCTTCAGAAGAACAGGCAATTCAATATTTCCAAAATGTTGGGGTACTTGCCGACGTGAAATTGTGTGAACGAGGTCATCGAATGAAGTTAACCAGGAAGGCCAAATGGAGATGCTTTCGTAGGACTTATGACACAAAACTTTCAATAAGGAAAGGAACATGGTTGGAGGTCTTGAGGATTTCGTTTTAACAGCTTTAAAATTGATTTATGGGTGGTCCCATAGCTTGACAACGATGAAGTGGGGCAAAGAGCAGCTGAAACTATCCTACGGAGCAATGGTAACATGGAACAAATGTCTAAGAGAGGTTTGTGACCATGACATGTTATACAGGCCAAGAAAAAAAATTGGAGGACCTGGCAAAGTGGTTGAAGTAGACGAAAGTCTTTTTTCTAAACGAAAAAGTCATGTGGGGAGAGTTTTACCCTCAGCAGTGGATGTTTGGTGGAGTTTGCCGAGAAACAGATGAATGTTTTATCTTTTTATAAAACAGATTTTATGTTTTATATTTTTTCTTTTCTATGTAAATATGTTCTTTTAAATGTGTTTTTTTTTATTTTTATTTCATTTTGATGTTTTATGTGTACATATCTTCTTAAAGTGTTTTTTTATTATTTCATTAATATATTTGTCGTCAAATAAAAGTATTTTTGTTGTTATTACATTTGTGTTTGCATCTGTTTACACTTTCAATAATACAAATTTAATACAATAATACGAAGATATGAAGTAGGAGAAGGCTTATCACTGTGTTATGGGAGATATCAGTGTTCAGGTTATAAACATTGGCAGAAAGCAGTCAGTAGCGGCCTCTAGACAAGAAGTACCGTGAATTAATATAAAAATGGAAAAATCAAAAATGTCTACAAAATTCAAAACAAATTGCATATTCAACAATAGTTAAATCCCACAGGACAGATGATTTCATATAAAAAATTCATGGTGAATAGAAAAATAAAATACTTATCATGAAATCAATGGATATAAAAACAAAATATATCCTCACCGTTCATGTTTTGTGTTGTTTCCGTATATGATGTGTTCTAAGCATTACTTATATCCGCAGATAGGCCATGGTTTTTCATTTTTTGTAATATGTCATTTTTGTTGTTTGATTAATATGGTCAGAGACAAGCATGTGGTGATGTCCTGTAAACAACTGGTAGGTAGGACCAATGATTTTATTTGGGATACCCAGTTGTACTTCACATCCGCTATCACTGAATCAACATTAAAGAGCCTATTGTTATTATTTCAGTAATCTTTGGTGGATAAATTTTGTCTAATAGCATATAATGTTCTTCAGGATTTAAATCTTGATTTAGTGGTGACCTGTTTGAAGGCGGACAACATAATTTGATGTGTTCTTTGGCCAGTGGAGTACGTATTTTAAAAAAAATACAGTTGGGGGGGACAATTATCAGTTTTTAAGACTCCAAACTTCTGAAGACTAAGTAACTTAGACATTATCCAATCTATAACAATTAATAATGGCATATTCTGAAACTTTCTTGGGCTATTTCTTTTCATTTATCTGCACGCAGCTCTGTTGTTTCTTTGTTTTGATCTTCCACGTGGTCTTTTGCCTTCTATTGAGCATTCATTGTTACGTAGAGGCTTCCAGATGGATTGCTACGAGCTACATGCCCCGCCCATCTTAACTTCCATGCCTTCATGGGATATTGATTGGCCGGTTTCTGTAAGCAGTTCTTGGTCTTTCTTCTCTATGTGTTAGTACTCTGATCCCATATCACTCTGGTTATCATGCGGAGGATTTTCCTCTCAAATCTGTATCTTAATTATTTATTAAATCTACATTTGAAATATCTTCCATATTTTAGTGAAATTATATAAAAATTTAAATAGAGATTTAATAATATTTTTTCCTCATTCTCTATCTTGATTCAAAGAAGCTCGACAAAGAATGGAAAGAAAAATTGTAAGGAAGGACATGGATTCCACTTACAGCAAGAAGGCTATTAATGGAAAAACCGGTTGACTGGTGTGCAGAGGCACATGCCTATAGTTATCAATTGATAATGACTAACACATCTGCAGATCCCAATTAAGTTTTAAGCACTTATCCACAGAAATATTTGTATGAAACTTTGCCGGTCTTTGCATTGTTTTCAGTGCTTCAACTTTATGTTAAACTTAGCTAGTAAAACTAGGTTTCTACACAGTAAAAATTAATATGAAACCAATGTAAAATGTGCGACAATATGTCCAGGTTTACAAAATTTTAATATACCGTTATAGTAAGCAACATAATATTAGATAAAAATCATTAAAATTAAAAATAATTTATTTAATTTTTTATTTCACTACCCTCTCTTTTTAGTTGGAATAGATTTATATATACCTCTAAATAAAAGTGGTCTTAGTGGTATTGCTCTATATAATAGTTATCTATACTTCTGTATAAAGCCAGAGTAGTACAGTTTTTTTTGCTATATACAAATGTGTAATAATAAGGTTTATGCCTCCAAAGTAAAAAATTGTTTTCTGAATATCGCAGAAATAAACATTAGAACAATACATTAAACTAAGATTTAAAATTTGTCTCTATTAACTGTTTTGCTTTGGTGAATAACAATTACAATTATATTATTTTTTTTCAGGAATCGGTTCAATGACGATATCAAATGCTTTGGGAGGAAACACCCTGGATATTTTGTTATCTCTTGGTTTACCTTGGTTTATAAAAACCTTGTTACCAGCAGATCTCGGAGGTGGCCCTGTGAAAATAGAATCACGATCAGTTGTGTATAACAATGCAGCGCAATTGGCATGTGTAGCCCTCCTCTTCGTCTCTGCTGCCTTTAATAAATTTAAAATGGATAAGCGGTTAGGTTGGACGTGCCTTGTATTTTATAGCCTTTTTATTGCATTTATTGTGACTGTTGAACTTGATCCTTTTGGATTCAATCCTGTAAAATGCACAGTTTAAGAAATAGGCAAGTGTAATATTTATTTTTATTGCAAATCAGTATTTTCAACTGATGTAATGTGCTCTTCATACGAATTAAAGTATTTATTTTGTACATTTAATATTAATTTGGCATCGTTATTAGTTAATTACAGATACGTAAAAGTTTAAGAAGAAAAAAGTATACAGCTTCATTGAATGTTCTCATACTAAATTATTTTGTACCTGAGGATATTTTTAGTACAAGATTATATTTAGAAAAGTATCTTACACCCCTTGTGTGACAAAAGATATTTAAATTGAGATACATTCAAAACTTTATTATTAGAAAATTAAAGAGATTTGTTTGTTCATTGTAAAAATAGGTTAAGATTTAATTGAACTAATTTATTGCTGTACTAAACTGTGATTATAGAAACAGATATTTTAATGAGAAATAGTTAGAAGAAAATAGGTGTTAATCCCTTTGTTTTAGTGAATTGGATTGTTATTTTACACAATCTTGATTGAGATTTAGGGATTTCAGTTTGACTTAGTTTAACATAAATGAGTGGGGCTAAATTGGTTTCCAGAACTGTATGTTATCGTAATTATTATTTAATTTATATTACTTTTAAATATTTATTTTTGTCTCTGTTTTAAACTTAGAGTATTTTTCCCTAAAAGGAATTGATTAAAAATGATCAGTTATTTAGAACTGCATAAGTGACAATTCTTAATTAAAGCAAATAGTGTTTATGAAATTTTAATTTTACTTAATTTATTGAAGAAATAAATATGTTCTTCAAACCTTTGAGTATTAAAATAAAATATGTTTAAGGGCTGACAAGCCTACCTCACTCTTAGTTTCAAAAATTGATCTTTTTGAAGATTGATAGATAGATATTAGATGATGAATCTAACCTGATAATTTTTAAGTTCAAATGAGTAATTGTTTTGATAGTGGAGTGTGTTTCCTTATTCCTATAAAGTTGTGATACCAAAGGTATGATTCAAGGGAGTGAATCTGTAAGTATATTTTACTATAGATTGTAATATGATTTGTAACTGTGTTACATTGTTATATTTGTTAACCTATGTAAATATAGTAATGTTAAGTCATTTTTAAATATATTGATTTTTCATTAAAATTAATTTGCAATTTCCCCAAAATCAGAAGTAGGTACTAGTTTCAAACTGCCTCTCCGAGAGGCAGCTGGTTTCAATACCACTTCATGCATACTATAAATGGCGTCACTAGAAATGCTAAAAGTAACAGTGTTCTTTGACAAATGACTAATGTGTCAACAATATATATTTCCCTAAAATGCATGGAAGGCAATTTGCTTGAGAAAAACTTTAAAAAGTGTTATTTCTCAGTTGTTTTTTATGATGGGAGAAAAAGTACTCAATTGCAGTTAATATATATTCATTGTTTTGTATAGTATAGATAAATGCATTTTAAGTTTAAATTTAATTTCTTTCTTTTTTCCGAAGTAATTACCATAATATATACATATCAAAAAAAAAATCTTTCGGGCTGAAGTCCCCTCCAAAATTAAGTCCTGATCCACTAGTGACTCTTGATACGATTGTAAACATGGGTTAAAACAATTTATAGTGCTGGATGGTGCCAGAGAACACCATAGTTTTGAATTGGAGTCGTTAACTTAATCTAATCTAATTCTTTTGTTTTTTTTATTGTTTTTTACGAAGGTATTTGTGGAGGAGCTGGTGATTGATGAGCTGATTGCTTTGGTATTTCAAGGAGACCAAGAATTTGATATTTCTCTCCCTGATGAATTCTGGGACCGTTTCGAATGTCAAATAGATTGAGAAATGATTGAATGATCTTCGTTAATTATATTTAAGCTTCTGTTCATTTATCCTAATTTTGGTGTCTTGAGGTTTTATTTTTTACATAAATTAGGCCAATTATCACCAACATTTTATTGATACGCTATTTAATTCGACGTTTCGACCATACTAAGGGTCATTTTCAAGTCTTGATTGACTGATCAGTCCCTCCAGAAATGACATAGGCGAAACCCCTATAGAGCATGACAATTTAATTTTCACTGAACAAATTATTTGCGACATTAATGATGAATATATAACGGAGCAATCATCAAGACTTGAAAATGACCCTTAGTATGGTCGAAACGTCGAATTAAATAGCGTATCAATAAAATGTTGGTGATAATTGGCCTAATTTATGTAAAAAATAAATTATATTTAAGGTTATTTAATTAAAATTCATGGGAACTAGAGACAAATATATTGCAAATTTGTAAAATAACAGTGTTTAGATAAAAATTTATTCAATAAATACATTTAAAACTTACATAATAGATAATAAATAAAATAATTTAGAGGTGTAAAATATCTTAATACTGATATATTGTATCACGAAACACATAAAGGAAGATTTCCCTCGAAAAACACATTCATCTCCAGCAAGCAGGAAATAATAAAAAATGATATATATAAAATGATACATATCCATCCAATCTGTAATAATACAAATATATTAAATATGAATTTGTAGTTACATAGTTAACACTATAACTTCACAACAGATAATATAACAGTGAAATAATTTATCCAGTCATTTTTTTTTTTTAATTTAAAATAAGAATAGGCCTTCCAAACAATTAATAACTGTCGTAGCAGGAATTTTGAGCTACCAAAATAAGGATTTGTTTTCTATTCCTGTATAGTATAAATTGGTTTATAAGTTTATTGACAATCTACATTACAGTTGTCCCCAAAATGGAGGAACTGTGGTATGTCAAAGCTTTACAGTGACATAATTGTGGTTGCGATTTTATCCCAAGACTACAGTTTAATGATTCAGCTAATTTTAGATAAAAGTAATGTTAATTAATCCTGTTTACAGACCTCTTATTGAAGCCATGTCTATTCTTCACAAGTCATATCCTTTAACTATATTGACCATTTCTTTGGGATGTCCTGATAAAGTAAATGTTTCCTTGTATCTATAGAACCTCCCCCTTAAGTAATCATGTGTCCTTTCTACCAGCCCATCTGCCCTTTTATTTCCTGGATTTCTGTTGTAATACCAAGATTTTCATGATTACCCAATAAGTAATTTATTGCTTTTTAATTTTATGAAAATTATAAATTATTTATTTATTTCTATCCTCCCATTCCGCTATGGCAATATGGATGTATGCAGTATTGTGATGTTAAGCATTATAACATTGCATAATATCACACTACTGTAATGATAACAGCATACAAAATTAATGGCTGTGTACACAAATAAATTATATAAATCCGGAGGTCTTCCTGGCGCTGTTCCTCTTCTCGTTCTCCCGGCCTCTAGATTGAAGTGAGCTGCTCCCACTGCCCTCTTCCAGCCATTTATGAGGTTTTTTAACCACGGGAAGTTTTCCTCACTCATCAACCAAGGAAATTTCTTCCCGGTGAGCACATAAATTTCCGTGGTTCTCATCAACGCAGCTCTTAATCAGTTTAAGGCAGTGCAGTCTGTGACCACATGCTCAACAGTCTTTAGAACACTACAATTGGGATAATAAAAATTATAAATTCGCCAGAAAAACCTACCTTATCTAACTTTAATGAAAGATGCCGCTTTATAATAGCCATTCTCATAACTCCAAGCACCTACCTACCCAGATCAACTGTAATTCATATTCATGTTTTATCAATGCCCATAAACCTGAATATTTGACCTAAAAGAACTGGTTATAATGAGCTCTCAGTTACGACAACTTCTAATTCTTTGATAGACCATCTTATTTTAAAGTATTATCCTATATATTGTTCTCCATATGGTAATTTTATCATACATCAAAATATCTTTTTTACTAATAGATCGTTTTATTCCATGAAATCGTATTTTATTTTTAATAAGAAAGATATGTTAACATTTACTTACTGTCTTGTCTAATCTGAACTTGTTAAAAGTTAAGCTGAAGTATAAAATAAATAGCGCTGATAATAGAAAAAGTACTGATATCGATAAACTATGGGAATTGATAATTAGATAGTGGCCAGGTTCTGATGAATCATACGTTGCTTTCAAAAGCCATGGCAGTCCCAAGCAAATCAGTACATCAAAATTATTAGCTCCCATCGAATTTGATAATGCCATTGAACCATGACCTATAAATTTTAAAGTGAGTTAATAGCCAAAGTTTGTCTAACTGATTTATGAGTAAATTAATCTAATATACCTTGTTTAGCTACTATAATACTTGAAACACCTTCTGGTATGCTCATTCCAATGGCAATAAATGTTAACCCTAGCAAAGAATCAGGAATCCTCAGAACAAAACCTGCAACAAATCTAATTTAGCCCCAAAAAAAATATTTTTATACTTTTTTTTTTATTATAACTCCTGTTTCTGATAAGAATTGTTGTAGGATTATTTTCTTATTAAATTAAAGAAACAAATGAACTTCAGTTGGAATTGTTTATATTGACTGTTAGGCATAAGGCATAAACTTCAATTTGAAACATTGGATTTTTGCACCATCCGACCCTAAAGTTGAGATCTATATATGGGCATAGGTGCAGATTTTAGGAGGGGGGGTCGATCGCTCCCCTCTTCAATAAAAATATTGAGGGGGCGAGAATATCATTTCGTCCCTCCCCAATAATATGGATTCAAAAAATAAATACAATTAATAACCATAAGAGCTTACTTAACCTTGAGATAAGCGTAATTGTTGATAAAATATTGTATAAATATATTCTATAGAGAATGGTTTTTATTGACATTTTTACATAACTAGTGAGACTATGAAAATGTATTTTCATTTTGAATTTTTTTTGGTCCTCGCCTTTAAAGCTATATTGGTCTTTCCCAGGCAAAGGGGTGTGAGCAGGGATTTTCATCCATGGTATAAACCCCCACAATTTTTTTTTTCCTTTTTCCTATGTATGCATGTTAAATATAGTATTGGATAAATATACTCATCAGATTACAACCTTTCGGTAATATTGTTTGTCACATAGTGTCTGAGAGTTAAAACATTTTACCTATACATAAATCTCACTTCTCAGGGTTTGATAATGCAAAATTCCAATTTCGTGAAATTGAGCGTTACATCATTTTACCTTAACACGATCAATGAAATAAATATTTATATATCAATACTATAATCCCATATAATAATCATACAAGTAATTATAACTGTTTTGAATAACAAAAATAGCTAATAATTAAAGAAAATTATTCATCACTCAATTAGTTTTCATACAGATAATAATTTTTTGATGGTAGTAATGTTGATAAATGTTATGTTGATAATATTTAAAATTAATTTATTATGACTATAAAAATATCTATTAAATTATCTAGAACCTGTAACAGTTATCATCCAAGATATAAGATAACAGATTACTCCTATCCATGCTACAGATATGAGAAATGTGACAATGTATAGTTTAGATTCCGCCCCTCCACTTCTTGGTCGTGGAATGGTCAGATAAAGTAAAGTGTCTATAGGTAAAGTTACCAGCCACATAGGAAGTGTACGTTTTTTCCAAGGTGTTTGCATAATATCTGAAATGAATGAAATTATTAGTTAATAATAATATTCCTTTTAAAATAATATTTCTTAACATTGTTTATTAAGTTTAATACTTTTAGGAATTTAATTAGGAGTGTTGGAAATGGAATATCAATTGTACACTTCTAAATAAGACAATTCTTTTGTCTATAATTTGCTTTTAAAAAAATCAAATTATTCTCCAACTATAATATAGTCCACTTTTACAAAAACTTCTTGGTTTGATAAGCTTCAAATTCACATAAAATCAAGTTGAGGTATATTAGAAAAAAAAAGTTTAGATTTACTTCAAGTTGTGTAAAAAAAGTATGTGATTTTATATCCTGTTACCTAAAAGTAATCCCTGTTTTGTTTTTTTTCTGTAAAAATGACTACAATAAATGATTGCAAACCTTTATTTTCTTTTTTTCAATGACCTAGAATGTATAAATATAAACATATCTGCTTAAACAAAATTGTTATTTCTAAAAAAAAAAATGTTCGAAATAATGATTTTTCGATTATTCATCGTCTAAAGTGATAATGAAAATATATTTTTTTAATACATATATTTTTTTAAATAAAATAAAAATGTATTTTTACTAAGATCTCTATTAAAAGAATTAATCTGTACTTATTATAAGTGACGAAATAAATGTTTCTGCTCCTAAAATTTGTGCTTAATATAATATTAATTAATAAATAAACCTGCTGATTGCATCAATTATTTTTGTGAGATTGTAAATATTAGAACCAGGAATATTTAGTTTGTCATTTATAAATATGGATCAATTAATATATATATTTTTAATATATATCTTAACACAAAAACATTTGTTATTAACACTTTAAATGATGAATAAACGAAAAATCATTATTTTTAACTTTTTTTTTAATGAATAAATTGTGTATTTACGCAATTATGTTTATCATAATCCTTCACAAATCATGGAAAAACAAGAAACATATACTTTTCAACAATCAATTGTAGTCATTTTGTTTAAAACACGGGTACTTTTAAATGATGGGATACAAAATCATATAATTTTTTTATACAACTTGAGGTGAATCTCAATTTTTTTCCTAATAAACCTCAATTTAATGTTATACAGACTTAAAGCTTATTAAAGGAAGAAGTTTTCCTAAAATTGGGTTATCTGTAGTGTAGTTAGATGATGATAAAAAAAATCACGAATAATTTAGGATTTTTTTAAAAACAGAACAGCTTAGTTTAGCTCCTCAAAAGTCTCTTTTAAATGGCTTTACCAATGTCAAACTCTCTTATTATTTAAAGTAAATTTTGACAAGTTTACAGTGAAGCAATTATTAATTACTTAAATTAAATAGTTTTTTAGTTATCACTTCCTATTCAATAAAAAAAACGTGACACTTAAAAAAACACAAATCTTGATTTCTGCTATCACACTTTTAAATATTTCTCTCTACTAACGGAACAACCTGTATACTGAACAGACTAATAATGTATATTTATTACAAAGCAATCATGCCAATTATATAAAATTCACTTTAGGAATTGTTTCCTGAAAGGTAAAATATGAAAAAATAAATAAATTAAAAGACTTTAAAATTACAATTTAACTTATTAAAAATTAAAAACTTAGTAAATTATTGCAAAAAAAAAAAAAAAAATCTTACCAATATTTTGTATTTGATCCAATGAAATTAAATCTTCCTCTATACCATACGATATTGTGGAATCTGGAAAAAAAAAATCTAGCTTGGAAAATGAGCAGCATAACTCAGGACTTAACTTTTAATAGAATCATCTTTGTGAGTATTAATATGTATAAGGGATTGTAAGAGAGAAAAGCATGGAGAAGATCTGCTTTGAAAATTGAAGAAATTGCAAAAAGAAACCAAAAGATGTATTATTGGGTGCTCAAGAGTTTCAGAAATGAAAAACAACCCTGAAATGTATTAAGGATAAAAATTACAACATTCTCAACAAAAAGTAAGCAATAATAGAAACATGGAAAGAATACTTTCAGGTTTTGCTGGTGTGGAAATGAGGACGAAATTATAAGGAAGAAGAAACAGCTTATGAGGATGAATATGACAACATAGGGGAGGAGGAAATTAGGAAAATCTCCTGGCCAAGATAAAATGACACAAGAAATGATGATACATCTACTGAACCTAATATGGAAGAAAAAGGAAAAACCTTGACTATGAACTGGCTGTAAAAGTGCCTATATTCAAATACAAAGGCAACAGGATATGTGGAAACAATAGAGGTATTTCTCTCTTAATTATCCTTTACATTGTTTACTCAAATAAAAGATACTGGAAAAATGAATAATGAAATCCATAATGAGAACGAATAGAGCAGTATGGATTTTATCCATTGAGAACCACCTAAGTCTTATATTTACAATAAGCCAGATCACAAAAGGTGGTGGAGAGAGAAAAGTGGAGTGTCTTTGTGCTATATCAACCTTGAAAAAGCATTTAATAGGATCAGAAAGATGGGCCATAAAAAGGCATTACAAGAAAAGGCCATTGAGGAGGTTTAGTCCAGGCAATATAGAGGCTATATCACACGACCAGAAACACTGTGAAATTCTCCAATAACAGCTAGACTTTATTTATAGCAAAGGCATGATTTCAACATGGTTGTAATCTGGGTCCATTAATATTTGTCCTGGATGCATCATTGACAAAGGTAAAGGAAAGAATGAAGAAATTCCTTCTTGGATATAGAAATTAGGTGCCAGTTATGTTCTCTATGCTTGCTTTTCCTGACAATATGGTAATTCTAGCTAATAATGTCATCAAACTAAGACATAATTTAGGAATTCTGGAAGAGGAGATAGGTAAAATAAACATGGTTTTAAACCAGGAAATGCAAAGGTGAAGATGAACATATGGAGAGAGCTGTGTCCTCTCCCCTTTGCTAACATTTGGTGTAGCCTAATGTATTAATAATTTATTATGCCTAATATGGAAGGGTTTAAGAGATTATTGAATCATAAGGCTAATCTTATAAATTATGGATACAGGAATTTATAATATTTATAATTATAAATTATTGTTTAAGGTAATCTACACTTTTCCTTAGCACTTACAATTTTTTCTTAGAAGAGGCCAGGAATTTTCAGAAGGTTCTTCTTTTTTTCTCAACCTTTCAATCAAAGCTTCACATTTTTGTCTAAACCAACTATTGAATGACATCACTATAAAAAGAAAAAATATTAAATATTTCTCTAACAAAATTTATCAATAAAAGTTTGCTTTTTAATATCCCACATTTCCATTTCAGATTATATAATCTAGAGTGCTACCAATGGGTAGTTTCTCAACAAGCGTGTTTCATGTGATTATATTCCTCTGTACACATTTACTTGATGTATTCATACTAATACAGTTGTAAATATCATAATGAAAGTTTAAAAAAATAAAAAAGATTATATAATCGCTATTATCACATTTCACACCTAAAATCATTTCAGTTAATTTTTTTAACTTTTGAAACTATTTTTTTAATCATCGTTAGTAATTTAAATATGATGTTGATGTCTCATTTCTTCTTGTTAATACCTGTTCCGTTTGAGGATCTATAAAAGAAAAAATTTCAAATTTGTGAAATTTTGTTATGTTCTTATTGGTTGTACCAATCAATACAAATATACATTTAGATTATTACAATTTTACACTGAAGAACAAAAAATTAGATATCATTATTATTTGTTCTATTTTACAACCAAATAATAAAAAATACCTCCATTGTTTCTTCAATAAGAGGTTAATGTAACAAGATAGTAACATAATTTAAACCAGCAATAGTAGAAAAAGAACATAATTTTTTTTTTATATTAATGGTTTTTTATCTTATAAGCAATTCTATTCTCATTGAATATTTTTAGATATTTTTGTATCAGAACAATACATTGTTTCAATTGATAATTTTGGTAACATTATATGCTTCTTTTATTAACTTGAAAATCTTATCTCAGAAATGTTCAACACGACTTAGAATTGGAATACATCGTGGCCCCTCTAAACTTTGAATTAAAGTTTTATCCTGATGTCATAGTGGACACAAGAAGTGGGCCTTTTGGTTATTTTTTCCAACTTCTGAGGTTACAAATGTTGCTGTCCCAACCTAACTGGAACGGCAGTATCGAGATTCATTTTGCAGGTCTCCATTAACTGACTCTGGGTGGAATCGAACACACTCTGTCCTGATAGGGCATTTTTCTCAACTGTTTTACCATCACAACCTTATCAGGATGGAGATTAGTTGTAAAGAAAAATTGTTCCAATTTTTTGTGTTGCGGTGTATTTACAAAACAATCGTAGATATTTTAGACAAATTAATGGAAAGGTATGAATAATTATTATGCACAATTGTAAAACGTTTATTACACATTATATGAATTTATTGTAAAAATTCTTTATATTTAAAATACTCACCAAGGAGGTAAAGAACATAAACACAGAGAAGAACAAGTGCTTCATACCATTCAATACGACCATCATTTAGGGAAACATGAAGTAACACAATTGCTATGCAGTAGAATAAACAGTCTCTTGTAAGAGGATAAAAGTCCAATCTGATCACCTTTAAACTTAAAAAACTTCAACGAGACTATGCATATGATATTTAGAAGTAGAAAAAGGTTAAAATAGTTTGTTAAACATGTATATAAATTAAATAAATAAATACAATCCTAGTAATTACACACACACATATATTGTTCATCTTAACTTAAATGCCAGGATCTATCAAAATTTTAAAAATGCATACCTTTGCAGGAGAAAGAAAAATACAAAGAGCAGGCAATGCTAAACTATTAAAAACTCCACAGCCTACAACTGTTCCGATTCCTATATCCCCTTCTGTAACGAATGTTCCAACCAAATTTACAAAAAGATCTGGAGAGGATAAAGCTGCAGCCATCAGTGTTGCACCTGCTACGTCAGAGCTGAGGTGCATCTCTAAACAATAAATTAGTAAATAAACTGATTAAATATCTATTGTTGAAGAATAAATTTAGAAGTTAGGTTATGGATCACAAGTTTGAATCAAAAGTATTATTTTTTAATAAGAGTTTATGTTAAGATAATGATATTCGCACAAAGATCTACTTATTAGTATTTCATTATGCAATGACATTATTAAAATTACTTGCATGACACCAACCATTGAATATTTTATTGGAAATAGTTACAGTGATCCCTTCTTAATACTAACTTAGTAGACAACTAAGCCACCCACAATCCGCATTAAAAAAATTCATGCTAAATTATAATAAGTAAATTTATACCTCAGCAATCCTGAAAATACAATATCTGTCAGTTGCTTTATGATGTTCACAGTTATATCATGATCAGCTTCATAGCATTCTTAAATAATATATATTTTTTAAACAGGATTGCTACTTATGTCAGTGAATCAGTTTTTGTTATATAACCTCTTTAGAAAAATACCTTGACAGTAATTCATATATATAAATTTTTTTAATTAATAATAATTTTCATAGTTGTATAATGTATGGTCCCAATGTTATTTTGCTCATGAAGGCCTACAATTTAGGCTCGAATGCCAGTATTCATTAATAATAAGTTTACACCTATATGTGTGTTTTCATCTTTTGCTGCTCCTTCCTACCAACTTCCTATTGAATCACATCTCATATACTTAGCTTTATTTTTACATCTATGGTCAACTATTATACGTTATTTACTTAAATTTAAAAAAAACATATTTCTATTTTAAAGATATAGTTTACCATAGTCAGTTAGTTCCAAGTCATTCATTAATTGTTTAATCAAAATCTAAAAGAATAACCTTAATATTTGTGGCACCTGTGAAGAGTTTGTTAAGTTCGATTTTGTGAATTTTTATGAGTATCACCGGTAAGGTAATTTTTATCTCTTGCATTTTATGTAATGGACTAAGTTATGCCTGTTAGAGATATGAACATTACTCTGTGAATCATGAGTTGAAACTCAAAAATTGAACTTGCACCTGTGAAAATTCCAAACTTCCAATTGCGTTTTTCCATAACTATTGATTTGTACACTTAACACACAATGCACAGGTGCCACAGATATAAATGAAAAAAAATTAAAAATTATACTCACTGTAACAGATAGTTTTAATAGCTGTGACTAGATATCTATCACATATCCTTGCAAGGAAAGCAAATAGATAAACAATTATGACAAATGTGATTAATGTAGAAATTACGGGTCCACCTGGAAACTCGATTTTTGGGAAATCATGAAAGGACGGTTCTGTGCAGTTTAGTTCATTCTCTGGTAATATATTATTTTCTCCTAAAAATAAAAATATATTATTGTATATCACTCCCATTAAAATTTGCATATAGTCTTAATAGGGTTCGAGAATGTCTGGTTCTCAGAGGGTTTACAAATGGCCTGATAATCACACTCAGCAAGTGATAAGGGTCCAGGCAAAGTAAGAATTGTGGCGAAAAAGACAATTTAAGTTAAATAATTAGTTTAGCTATAAAGACGCCAAAAATTGCAGGTATCGGGTTGTTAAAACAAAAGTTCTAATCATTGAGTTCAATTACAATAAGTTTGGATACATGGGGTGACAGTGAAATTGATTAGATTCTTAATAGATATTATTATAACCATAATTTATATTTGTTAACTTCTTACTTCTTTTCTTTTTTCAACAGAGCCAAAGCTCAAAATTTGGCATAGATAGGTGGCGACTCTATCGCCTGGTCAATCTCTTACAGATTGCCACTGGTCTTCAGTGTTGGAGAAACTGTACACTGGTGTTCTCTTGGTATTTTGATACAGCACACCTCATTCTTACATCTTCAGACTAAGGCAGCGCAGTACATCTCTAACTAGCCACCCTGGATGGGAAGCAAGTTAGGACATTCTGAGGAGGCAGCTTCTCCACCTGATTCGGGGTCAGTAGGCTGATAACCTGCTCCCCTTAACCTTTCAATATCTTGAAATTTATACAAAAATCAGCTTTACTGAACATTGGTTACCAATATAACTCTCTTGGACTTAAAACTTCCCTCCTGTAAAATTCCCAGAGAGTATACATATCTTCTATACAGAATACCTTATGCAGTGAAATATGCAGAAATATTAAAGTACATAGTCCAAAAACTAATGGATTCTGAAATCAGAGAGCAGTTCAGTAATCACATTGTTGAAAAAAAATGTAATATTGTGATCATACTGAAGACATGCAAAAAGACAATAGCTGGAGTTAGAAATGAAATACTTCTATTCCAGAAAAGGAGAAGAGATGAACCTTGGTTTGAGCAGGAATGACAAGTAGCGATGGTTTAAAAAAATACAGTTATATCACCTCATGTTTCCCTTGCCACTCAGGTCTGAAAATTATTTGCATAGAAAAAAGAAATAATCTTACAGCTGAAAAAGATAAAATTATTCAGATAACAAAAGAAAATAAGAAAATCCTACCAGCTCATAAATATTGAAAGAAAACATTTTCAGCTTCAGAAAATTGCTTGAACTATGTATCTTACGTTTCTGGGATTCTGATTACATGGGAACATTTTTGCACATTGCTGCTAAAATAAAAGGGACTTTAAGAATGCCTGAAAATTAGGTCCCAACAAAAATACTGCAACAAGAAATCTTTTGCAATAGATAAATTTGATATAAGCAAATACTTTCTGGGTCTGAATGTTCAACGTCCTTTAACACTTCCCTCTACATGGTGTTTCTCTAAAATTCAGTTTCTCTAAAAGATGTCTTATACTGATTTTAAAAAAGGGCATGCTTCTTTAATTATTTTGAGGTAAATGGTGTTCAACCTTCATTCTAATAAGTTTATGGTTTAAAAAAAAAATGTAAAAGTCAAATAAAATTAGGGCTTTATTGTTTTAGAATGAAAACTATCTTAAAATAAGAGGAAAAAGATCATATGTTAATAAATTTTATTCTGTCATACCTGGTTTTATTATAGAAGTGTCTTGAGCATTGATGAACACAAGAACAGAAGGTATTACCATCACATAAATGAATAGCCCTTCCCATATCATTTCAAAATCTAGAATGGGAACATCATGTATTAATAATTATCATTCTAATATATACTACAAATTGGTTTTTCTTATTTAGTTTTTTAATACATAAAATAACAATAATACTTTTAATGAGAAAATAGACTAAGAAAATAAAATTGAGAAATCTTTTTTGTTATATTTGTTAAGATCATTGAATAAACATTATCCTAACACATTTTTGTATGCAGCAGAACTGTTAGTTAGAAATAAAAAATAGAAAATGTTCCCTAAAATTTAAAATAAAAAATAATCTATGATAACTAAATTATTTTATGTGTTAAAACAATTTCTATCTATGTCAAAATTTTCCTTTGTTTAAATTTAGATCAAAACCCTAGGGAAATGTAAACTGATAAGTTAACTGATAAATGTGTGTTTAAGTGCCTCATATACTGTTTGAAAATAAAGGTAATATAATATTTGCGTACTTATTATAATAGATTTTCTTCCCGCTTCCCCCTATATTTATAGTATTTAATACTATTTTAATATTTAATCCAGTTCTATTCCTTCTGAAAATGATTAATTCTGTAATTCTTAATGTTGAGTTCAAAAATAGTTTTCATAATTTCTATTATTAATAAATTTATTATACGAGGAGGCATGCTAAAATTCTCACCATAAATAAAAAATGTTCATGGGGAGGATAACAGTAAATTAATTTTTTCTACTTAATTTTTTTATTATTTAAAACAAAAAATACTATTTTTGATGGTTGCTATGACATCTAATGTGGCCTGCATACTTTTTTCTGTGGGGCTGCTTGAGGGAAGTCTATATAGCAGAAAGCAGATATTTGGCAAAATAACACCAGTTATGCTTTAAGCAGTAATGCAAACTGCCATGAAAAGAGCGGATACCTGAAAGAATTCTCATGGTCAAAACTTAATTGATATCATTTCATTAAAAAAATCTATAAAATTAACTTTGATTTGTAATTAATTTCATTAATTTTTATCTATTTGTTAAAAACTTATAACAGATTTAAATATAAAAGAGACTTTTGGCCCATTCCATATTATTGTGTCATTTATGCACATTTAGATTTATCAATGAACGTAGTTTCATTGAACTGGTATTATCATTGCTAATCTGATAAACAAATTTGGCACGTGATCAGAGATTTATTGTATACAGATCATTAAAAATAGCCTTGACATAGTAATCACATCCAATTGAACCATAACACAAACAAACCACAGTAAACAGTCATTTATCCATCTCACAATGTCAATTCATAAAAATGGTTATACTTAAAAAGACGGTCTATAAAAAACTCTAAAAAAATAAGTTCAAATTCATAAATTATGCTTTATTTATATATTTATTTATTTATGTTTAGATACTAACCATTTAAAACTTAAACAACTTTAAAACTCAGTATTGTCTTATATATGAGTCTTTCGGTTGACAGAATGACTAACTCCAATTTCAACATTTCTTGGTAAAGTCATTTTTGTGATATTTATAGTTTTAAAATTTATAATATATGTACAGATAGTGAGAACATTGATTCCAAAATAGGTGATTGCAGTGTTCAAATAAATAAATGTGAATAAAAGTATAAATTTACACACTAGAAATATCGCTAAAATTAATAATCAAAAATGTTGAAATTGGAGTTAGTCATTCTGTTAATGGAAATACTCATATAATTGTTTGTTGCTTACCATTTTATGATCTCATTATAATTAATTAATGGCTTGTAATGTTTCAATTTTATCATTCAAAAGCACAAAGAAAGTAGATGTTTATTAATTAAAATTTTTCTTTCATTATATCAATTTGGTAGATATATTGTAGACAGTATTTGATTAAAAATAATTGTTTTGTATTCTTAATGTTAATTGATTTGTTATCATTGAAAAATTATAACTGCACATTACTTTAATATATGCTGTAACTACTTGTGTAAATCCAATTGAACTGTAGGAGGAATAAACACCATATTCATTGAATAGATTTAATTTCATTACAATATGAAATTGTTTTAATTGCCAATCCCTCATAAAAGAAAGAGGGAAAGATAATCATTAAATAAGTCATTAATAAACATGAAAAATAGAATTAATTTTAAGTTTTGGATCACACTGGACAAAATAATTTAGTTATCAACTTAGTAGATAAATTTCTAATTACAAACAAAGGTTAATTAAACACCCATGAAGGTTTTTTAGTTCAATAGTTGATAAAGTAACATTTTTCTTGGCCAACGACCAAAGGAGATGATGTAGTCAGTACCATGTTCAACTATTAGGTTCTCTCACCCTCCCCCCAAATCATTGAAATTTAGGTTCCCACCATTATAGAGACTAAGAATGCCCTCAGCAGATCCTTGACCCCAAAACTAAAGCTGGTATAATACAAATTAAATCTTCTACTATAATGTACTTATCTAAAGTAAATTTACTACTCAAACATGATTCAGGAAGTTGGGAATCCATTATCTTATACACTAGACCCATTTACTATAATTATAGAACTAAACAAAAACAAAATGAAAACTTTATTTTTGTTTTATTGTAACACCTAATGTTAAATCCTAACAATTTATCCCAATTTAAGACTAGAGCATTTAGAGTAGGCTACTGTGTTAAAGGGGTAAATCTACCAATCAATTATATTGGTTGACACTTAGTTCTTGTAGCACAGTAGTTTGTTTTAATTGATTTTGATTTGAAAATAATCTACATATTTCTTATATTTTATAGATCCATATGAAACAGTTAATAATGTGAATCACCAGGTTATTATTGATAATTATAAATAGGAGCATAACTATACTGGATAGTAACAGAAGAATTTAAAGAAATATTTCAAGAGAAGTTAATAATTTATTAGTCCTATGTAATTTATTCCTATTTAATATTAAGTCATATTAGACTGTTTTATATCCTTTGAAGACCAGCATTTTTTTTACCAATGACAATCTCTCTATAATTTATATTAATTTTTTTCATGTCTTATGCCCAGAGAAGCATTTCCATGATTAATTATTATATGTATTGGCTTAATTAAAATAGTAATCTTGTTTATAATTAATGAATCACTGTATAAATATTTAACAAACCAAGTAAATAATAAAAATATCAGTGCTAGTCCTTAAATCATATTAATTATCATACTGTATGTGTGTGTGTTTATATATATATATGTATATATTTATATATCATGTCTGTGTGCATGTGTACAGAATTCGAAACTACAGTCTACCCATACACTTCAGAAATTGATTAAATTTATAATTTTTCTCTAGCAGAATTATTTTTTGCTGAAATAGCTCTACCCTAAGCTATCTCAATATTACACATAAAAATCATTTAACAATGTTTATTTTATTACTGAAAAACAAATAAACACAACTCAACCTTGAATATAAGTAAACATACACTTGTATATAGAGAATTAAGTAAGGATTAGTGTAATGTTAAAATGAGTTTAGTCATATTATTAGCAAGAGTGTAAGTTAAAATTTGAAACAAAATTACTTGCTAGTAAAATCATTTCTTAACTTAAATTTTTCTTTTATGAAATGAGTTGAAAAGATATTTCCATTGTAGAGTGAGGTTTCATTATTCAATTTCCCTCAAAGGACTTATTGTGCATGTGATTTGTAAACAATAAAGAATAATCTCTTTTTTTGTTCATAAAATGATAAAACAGAATAATTGAATAAAATTCTATCCAGTAAACCAAGGATCATTAGATTAGCAAAACTTTTAGATCACATTCATTGAAATTCATCAAAATCAATTAGACGTAATCGTTAATAATTGATTGATTCTTTGTCTCAACATGTTGCTACTACAAATGTATTGGTATTCACGCAATACCTGGAAGAATAATGCTATAAGGAGAAAACAAGGTGAAAGCCACCAATTTTCAACTAATTATGAGAAGAAATGATTGGAATTCATAAATTTCTAAACGGTAATTATTTAAAATATTGGAAAAAGTAAAATTCAAAATATGCATAAATTAGAAACATAATAATGAAAGTTCAAAAAACAAAAACATCCTATGAATGATGAAGCATAGAAGAGATGTGAGATGGTTTGTGTATGTTGTTGGTCGGGATAGGGAATTTACACTTCATAAATCAGTTTAAAAATGTTTATTGAAAAGTCAGGTTAACTGTGAAGCAATTGGATTTTCCAATGACCTAAATGATACAACTCAAATTCTAAAAGAATGGTTGCTCTATAATGCACCATCTCCTGTCACTAATTGAATCCTATTGAGCAGCTTAAAACAGAATATTTCATAACATGAAATTCAAAACAAGTTTAATTTGAATATACACTTGGCGCACAATAGAACAAAATAGTTCTAGATTTTACCCAAAATCTCATCTATTCTTTTATTCAAATTCTTAATGCTGGCATAGCTGCTAAAAATAAAGAGAAACAATCATTGTTATTTTGTGTGGTTGTTTATTTTAGAATATTTTGATATTTGTTACTCTTGTTCTGTGAATTTACCTAATGGAGATAAGTTATTATTGTTATACTATGAATTTTTTTAAAGAAATGTGTGGTTGTAACTAAACATATTTTTACAAACAATTTTAATGTTTTTCCTCTCTCTCTATCTCTTATTGGCTTGATTTTGAGGTATATGTAAACTTTTTTCATAAAAGTACAAAATTTTTATCTCTAGCACAAAATTTATTGGATATAAAATCATAATATTCTTTTGACTATTACAACTATTACATTTTAGAGCTCTTTGAAGCCATATTAAAACATAAAAAAATCATTTTTATATTGGAAATAATGGTTGTGATTATTTTAAATATATTTATTGCAGTTGAAATAAATTAAATAAAGGTAATACACCATGCAGTTATTGAGTCAATGAACCTAGAAACATCCATATTGCTTATTGTATTATCTAATTTTCAATTTGGTGTCGTAATTCATTAACCTGGGTATGTTCTATTATTTAAATTATAACTAAGGATTTATCTCATTTTC